GCCAACTTCGAACTCTTAACTGTGGACCCCATGACAGATGATATAGCAATCCTTGCCCTTCAATTTTATAATAATTACTGTGAACCTAAGGTTATACATGCAAAGTCAATAATATATATTATACTAAATGATGTATATAATTTTAATAATTTGGTTTTGGTCCATAGGCAACTTACATATGTCTTGAACCATGCTGCAAATTGTTCATCGCACAAACGGTCAAACTCATTTGGTTGTAGTCCAAATATTGAAGTTTGGAAAATCTTAATATTAAAAACCATATAAATATTAGCAAATATTTGACACACAAAACATATATTTGCAAATTTACACTTACTTGAAGTATGACTTGACTTCTTGGCAGTTCAGTAAAATATAAGTACGGGCTGCATGAAATTCTTCGCCTGATAAGTAATGAAACTGACATGCGCCGCTTGGTCGATCCAGATAATTGAAAATAGAGAATGTTGTGTAATTGGGATTAATGGGGCCCTCATCATTTCTGCCTGCTCTCCGCCTCTTGCACTGAACGTGCGGTTCAAAATAGTATGATGCAAATGTTGTCACTTCTTCCACAATATACGCATTACAAATTGAAGCTTCAACACGTGCCTTATTCTTCACTTTTTTCTTCAAATGATATAAGAATCTAGTTGAAATAGAAAGAAGCTTATCGGAACATATTATATGATAAACTAATTTGAACTGTATTTTAAAAAAAACATTACCTCTCAAATGGAAACATCCATCGAAATTGGACGGGACCTGCAACTTTGGCCTCATAAGGCAAGCGAACTAAGAGATGCTCCATTGAATCAAAAAACGCTGGAGGAAATATCCTTTCTAAGTTGCAAAGAATAATTGAAATATCTCTCTCTAGTTTTTCCATGAGCGATTCTTTTAACACTGTCGAGCAAATATCATGGAGGAAATTGCTTAACTCTGTAATGGCGCCCCATACAAAGTTCGGTAGAACTTCCTTCAAAGCTATTGGAATTAGTCTTTCCATCAGGATGTGACAATTATGACTCTTCAAACCTGTGAACTTGCATTCATTCAAATCAACACATCTCCCGAGGTTCGAAGCATATCCATCAGGAAACCGCACAGATTTCAACCATTGACAAACAACTCGCCTCTGCTCCTTATCCAATGTATAAACTGCTTTTGGTTTTGGTCCCCTGCTGCTTGCATCCACAGCTAGTATTGGCCGATCGCAAATATCTCTCATATCTTTTCTTGCGTTCAAGTTGTCTTTTGTTTTTCCGGCGACATACATCACAGTATTTATGACATTGTCGAAAACATTCTTTTCTATGTGCATGACGTCAAGATTATGATGAATAAGATGGGCCTTCCAATATGGTAGATCCCAAAATAAACAGCGTTTTGTCCACTTATGTGTACTTTCGTACGCAAAAGTCGTGCCGTGCGGGTTCTCAACAACAGTTGGAAAGTCCTGCACACGCTCCCAAATTTGATCGCCGGTCAACCTCAATGGTGGACGCGTTCTTTCAGTCCTATTTTTGGTGAACTCTTTCTTATTCCTTCCGAAAGGATGACTTGGCGGTAAAAATTATCATAGATCAAAATAGCTGGGCTTCTTTCCATGTTTTAATCTAAATGACTTTGACCTCTCCAAACATATCGGACATCCTAATATCCCAGCTGTACTCCATCCAGATAACATTCCGTAAGCTGGAAAATCATTTATCGTCCAAAGAAGGGCAGCCTTCATTACAAATGTTTGATCGGTAGAAACGTCATACGTAGGGACACCTTCAACCCATAGCCGTTGTAACTCCTCAATCAATGGTTGCATATAAACATTATCAACTTTTTCGGATTTTGCGGCCCTGTCACGATCAATTTCAAAAACATATAAGGTGTCTTCATGCACATACCAGGTGGAAGATTGTACGGCGTTAAGATAACTGGCCAACATGAATAACTTTTTCCCGTTTTCCCAAATGGAGCAAATCCATCGGCATAGAGACCTAACCTGATGTTCCGAGGCTCCATCGCAAACTCAGGGTATGTTCTATCAAAATGTTGCCATGCCTCCGCATCTGAAGGATGGCACATTAGACCCTCTTCTGTTTCATGATTTGCATGCCAAGTCATGTGTTCAGCAGTGGCTTTAGACGCATAAAGCCTTTGCAATCTGGGGATTAAGGGCAGATAAAACATTTGCTTGCATGGTCTACGCTTCTGATTACGACCCGGCCTCCTGTTAATCTTGTACCTAGGTTGGCTACAGAATTTGCAAGATTCTGCATTTTCATCATCTCTCCAATATATCATACAACCCTTACTACATATATCAATCCTTACAACAGGAAGACATAAGTTATCCACTAGCTTTTTCATATCATAAAAATCACTTGGCATGATGTTATCACGAGGCAATGATTCCCGCATTACTTCAACAAAAGAGTTGAAGCGATCCGCGTACACATTATGCTCTGCCTTGATATTTAATAGTCGGGTGTCACCGATAACTTAGTGTGGTCCTCACAACCTCGCCCATAAAGGTTCATCTGCTGCTTTCAACACATCCCAGAACTGATTAGATTGAAAAGTTTCATTATAGACATTCTCATCAAAACCCGTTACTCATATATCTTCCAATTGTGAAGCATGACTAGTACCCACTTGTTCACGTGTAGGAGTAAAACTAGTACTTGCATGATTTGATTCTGTGACAAAATTATAACTAGCTGCATCAATCACCATTCTCTCGTATGGGTTCAATTGCTCATAATAGCCACATTCTTCCCTAATTGAAAATTGGTCACTTCTTCCGTATCCTTCATCAGATATAAATGGTTCACCATGGGAAGTCCAATTATAATAGTTCGGACTAAACCCAAATCTAGTAAGGTGTTCTCTAAATTGATCACACACAAGAAATTTACCATTACCGCACTTTTTACACGGACACCTTAACTTATTTCCATCCATGAACTCATATTTACTACTAGCAAAGTCTAAAAATAGTTCCAACCCGATCTGAAACTCATCTCGTCAATCCTTGACGTCCAGGTAAGTTCTTATTATACATCCAAGCCCTTTCTCTTTGCATTGTGTCTGTATTAAAATAAAAAATTCTGGTAAAATATTTAAAATATCATATCTATTGTTCTTAATTAAAACCATAAAATTTTGGAAATTATAATTTTTGTTATTCACACAACAATTAATATGAAATTGCAAAAATAGAAAAAATTACCATGTAAAGAAGACTTACCCAAATATTTGACTGAAATATTGGTAGGAGAAAGTGGTCAATTTGATGAGAACTGCAACGTCCACTTGGATTGCGAGACCTTCAATTAGACACATACCCAAAAAGAATAATCACTTAAGAATCATTTTTTAATAATTTTTAATGTGCGATGGAAACGGAATTCATCCCTCGCAAATTTGCGACGGAATCAAGGAAATTCGTCGCAAAATTTGCGACGGATCCCTGATTCCGTCGGAAATTTGCGACGGAATTTTCATTTATTCGTCGCAAATTTACAACGGAAACTATTTCCGTCGCAAAACGGCGTGGCCGTTCGGCCTCATCCAAAGGCCGGCGAGGTGTTGCCGGTCGCCGGTCGTTAAACCGATGATGCAGATACGAAAAAAAAACAAACACAAACATATATAAAATAAAAAAAATTACAATTCAACGATGAATAGTCACAAAGCTAGCTATGATACTTACCGGTACAAAAGCTTCACCGAGATTAATATATGCGTGCGCGGATTTTGCTGATTTCAGACATATGAAAGAGGGAGAAAAGCGAGAGAGAGCGAGAGAGAGAGATAGGGTTGGAATATCAGGGACTGATAAACTACAAATTTGCGACGGACGTTCGTTTTTGTCGCAAATTTGCAACGGAATTGGCGACGGTTTTTTTTTCCGTCGGAAATTTGAGACGAACTTTTTGCGACGGATTTATTTTCTGTTGCAAATTTGCGACGAACTTCTTTCCATCGCAAATTTGCGACGGATTTTGCGACGGTTTTTTTTTCCGTCGGAAATTTGCGACGAACTTTTTTCCGTCGCAAATTTGCGACGGAATTAGCGACGGTTTTTTATTTCCGTCGCAAATTTGCGACGGATAAAAATTCCGTCGCAAATTTCCGACGGATTTTTCATCCGTCGCAAATTCTGTCGCAAATTTGCGACGGAAATAAACCGTCGCTAATTTGCGACGGAAAATATAATCCGTCGCAAATTTCGTCGCAAATTACATGTTTTTTTGTAGTGTCTCTTACAACAATCCACAAAATCAGTGTTCATACTTATACAAATACTAATATATAATGTATACTTTTTTATAACTTATTATCTTGTATGGTCAACTTCGGTGGATTATACTCATCGGGTTGACATGTGCCTTATTATCCGGTCACTACATGCTAATCTCTTCTGCGACAATCCACGAAATATATTTGTTCATACTTATACTAATATATAATGTATAATTTTTTTATAATTTATAGTCTCGTACGATCAACTTCGGCGAATTACACTCATCAGGTTGACATGTGCTCTCATCATCCGGTCATTGGATGCTAATCTCTCCTACAACAATCCACAAAATCTGTGTTCATACTTATACAATTACCGATATATAATATATACTTTTTTATAACTTATTATCTCTTATGGTCAACTTCGGTGGATTATACTCATCCGGTTTACATGTGCCTTATCATCCAGTCACTACAATCTCTTCTGCGACAATCCACAAAGTACACGTGTTCATACTTATACTAATATATAATTTATTGTCTCGTGTGGTCAACTTCGGTGGATTATACTCATTGGGTTGACATGTGCTCTAATCATCCGGTCCCTGGATGTCGTTTTCTAATCCCTGTGCAGGTTAAAATTTCACAAGCACAGTTGTAGTTGATGTCAAGCAAATTTACCGCCCTTTCGCTATTTATAGCTCATCATCACCATCTCCACCACCTCCACAGCCCCTCCTCAACTCTCTCTCTCTCTCTCTCTCTCTCTAAGTGGTGGTTGCGCACATGGCTGAAGTAAGAACACATGGCTTCGTTTACGCTGGCAAGAAGAGGCCGGGCTACAATGGCGCCGATCGCGGCAAGGACGCGATGGTGGCCAAGAAATCGATAACGCCTGCCCTGGCGGCAACGGTGTGGGAGGACCCGGCGGCGGCGCTGGCAAGCGCGAGGCACGAGTTCGGAGAGCACGGAGGGGTGAACATGTCGATCGAGGCGTCGACCACCTTCACGGTGATGGAGCCAGAGACGATGCAGCGCATGTTCGCCGGGGAGCTCGGTCCCGACCGCGACTTCTTCATCTACAGCCGCCACTTCAACCCAACCGTGTTGAACCTCGGCCGTCAGATGGCCGCCCTCGAAGGAACCAAAGCCGCCTATTGCACCGCTAGCGGTAAAGCCCATCAGTTCTCATCATTTGCGTGTTTATTTTGGGTGATGCATTGAGCTAATCCCGGAGCCTACCTACGCAGGGATGTCCGCGATATCATCGGTGCTAATGCAGCTGTGCAGCAGCGGGGGACACGTGGTGGCATCCAGGACGCTGTACGGCGGGACCCACGCTCTCCTGACCCACTTCCTCCCGAGGGCGTGCAACATCGCGACGTCGTTGGTGGACATCCGGGACCACGCCGCGGTGGAGGCCGCCATGGTCCGGGGCCGGACCAAGGTGCTCTACTTTGAGTCCATGTCGAACCCGACGCTGACTGTGGCCGACATACCGGAGCTTTGCAGGTTGGCCCATGACAAGGGAGTGACGGTGGTGGTCGACAACACTTTTGCGCCGATGGTCCTGTCCCCGGCCCGTCTCGGCGCCGACGTGGTGGTGCACAGCATCTCCAAGTACATCAGCGGAGGGGCGGACATCATCGCAGGTGTGCGCTTCTCTCTTTTCGCAGTACACATCTCCTTTTATTGGGATTGATTTCGATTTCGCACGTATTGCATGTTGGTAAAAACAAGAAATGATGAATAACCTAGTATTGATACATGCAATATATTTTTCCTTGGAAATAATGCAGGCGCGGTCTGCGGTCCGGCGTATCTGGTGAACTCGATGATGGACCTCCATCAAGGGGCGTTGATGCTCCTTGGTCCGACCATGAATGCCAAGGTCGCGTTCGAGCTCTCCGAGAGGATCCCCCACCTAGGCCTCAGGATGAAGGAGCACTGCCACCGGTCCCTCGCCTTCGCGACCCGACTCAAGAAGATGGGCCTCAAGGTCATATACCCGGGCCTCGAGGACCACCCAGAGCATGCGCTCCTCAAGTCAATGGCCAACAAGGACTATGGTTACGGCGGCATCCTGTGTGTCGACATGGAGACGGAGGAGCGTGCCAATCGGCTGATGCACCACCTCCAGAACGTCACGCGGTTCGGGCTCATGGCCGTGAGCCTGGGGTACCACGAGACGCTCATGTCGTGCTCGGGGAGCAGCACGAGCAGCGAGTTGAGCAGGGGGGAGCAGGCTCTGGCCGAAATCTCTCCGGGGCTCGTGCGCATTTCGATCGGGTACACCGGGACGCTAGAGCAAAGGTGGGACCAGCTCGAGCAGGCGCTCGCTAGGATGAGCGAGGATGGGTTGCTCAACAAGAATTACTCCATTATTGAAGGATGAGATAAATATGACACAAAATAGAGAAGAAACAGATGATTGGGGAAATCTATAAAAAGTGTATTACTTAGAGAGACCTTTTATAGAAGGCTCTATTTATAATACAATGTATTGACACAATAAAGGAAAATATATATAGAAGATACTTTCCTAATTGTACACGATTGAATTCCCAATTAAATAGATTTACTCAATCACTCCAAGAAAAAGAATGGTATCTCCAATACTACCTTTCAAGCTGGTGGCTTATATATGTCGAAAATGCCAAGATTGCTTAATAGATACGTGTGCTGTCTTTGACATAAGGGTTTGGTAAAGATATCCGCAGGCTGTTACGTAGTTCCTATTCCTCTTGTCTTGATTATTCCATCCTGAATTTTTTATCGAATGAAATGGCAATCAACCTCTATGTGTTTCGTTCTATCATGGATTATCGGATTTGCTGCAAGTTTAAGAACGGCATCATCATTGTCACAAAATAAGGCAGTCGGTCTTTTACCCGTACGCTAAGATCTTGAAGCAAACCTTGAATCCAGACTATTTCTCAAATGGTCTTAGTCATGGCTCAATATTCAAATTCAGTTGATGACAATGGGACAATTAATTATTTCTTTTTCCATGAAAGCAACGATTTTCCTAGCTTAACACAAATTCAAATAATAGATCTTCTGCTCATGAAACAAGTGGCATAATCCGTGTCATAGTAAGCCATCATCTCCACATTACAATCTCAAGATACAATTTTAGCAACAAAATAATAAAATCTCGAGATACAATTATTCATAGTCCTGGACATCCTTTCAAGTATTTCACGACTTACAAAGCTGCATTCGTATAAGACTACTTTGGATTATGCATAAATTAATTGATGATCTGCACTGCATAACATATGTTAAGTCTAGTCATGGTAAGATAATTGAGTTTTCCAACGAGTCTCTGATACCTCAATGGATCCACATCTAGAGCTGACAATCCCGTGTCATACTCAAACGCCGTTAACTTAATATTTTGCTCAATTGGAATGATAGCAGGTTTGCATCTCGACAGAGCTCCTTCTATTGTATCTCTAGGACAAATTTTTGTTGGCTAAGATGTATTCCTTTATCTGATCATGCAATCTCAATACTTAGAAAATATTTTGGAGGTCCCAAATCCTTAATGTGAAAGGTAGAGTGCAAATACTTCTTAAATTCTTTAACAGCAGATTCATCATTGCCCATAATAATTATGTCATCAACATATATTAGTAGGTAGATTGATGTGTACCTTTTGCTCATGTAAATAAGGTATAATCATGGCTACATTGCCTGCAGCTTTGAGTGCAGTGGTGAATTTAGCTGCAAATGTCAAGAAGGTCCTTAAACAGGCTTAGATAAATAAGATAAGAAAAGGGGTCAGTGATCTTTTGTGGTGGTTCAGTGTAAAAAAGGTAGCGTTAATAAATGGGTACCATACCAATTTATGTTGGTATCAATTCATCGGGCCTTTTGCTTTCTTTTGGCTAAGAATCTCATGGTTTATTTTTTGTAAATGCTTAGTGCACATGTTATTTTCATTTAAGAGTTAAAAACAATCTTTGAAGAACCGCAACATTATCCACGTATATTTAGGCATGTCATTTATCTATATTGCAACTGAGATTAGATTAGAGATCGCCAATCGAAAATGGGCTATGTTGGTTGAACTACGAGTTATAAACTATTGTCTTTAACGCACTGCAGAGGAAAATTTAATTTTGTATACGAAAATCTAGATGAAAATAATACGTAATTAATGGTCTGTTTGTTTAATAGAAAATATTTTTTCGGGAAAACATTTTCCTAATTTTTCAACGTTTGGCTTGCTTAGGAAAATAAATTATGAATATCTCTTGTTACTGCATCTCAAAAAAGTTCTTTTTTTAAAAAAGTTCTTTTTTTGAGAACCCCGCCAACAAATCTCCCTCACGACACTATGGAGGAAGACCAATGAATTGCAAACCCAAGGCTTAACTCATATGATAATTCATATGGAGAAATAGGATTTCTCACTATCATTACGTGGTAGCTGCAAAAAGAATTTTTATGATACGAGTAACAAAAGAGAAAGAGAGCAGAAAATCTGGATTGAGGATGAATATGATTTTTATCAAGGCGACCCGTTGGAGGTCGTTCATGGTCCGATTGAGCTGAAATTTTGTTAGCGTGCTCGTGCCACGTTCTTTTCGTATGATCGGTTAGATTTTCACTTGAAGTTCATTACATCAGGTTTTTTGTGGGTTGAACCGAACGTCCGTGTTTGGTGAGATTTATCCTTTGTCTCTTGTGAAGTTCATGTGTATTGCCAAGAATAATATTCTTAATGTTTTTGCTGCTATGTATCTCTAGTATTTACTAGAGAAGTACTTTGTTCACCCAATTTTGCTAATAGTGAAGATTTTGGCTGGACTCCGCTCTTGTCATTTTTAGGTTTTTCACGTAAAAAATCACATTGTGTTTGCGTGCTTGGTATCTATATCTCTCTCTATTATATTGTTTCCCGTTAGATTTGCATAAGAGGGGAGATTATTTTATTTCGCTGTGCTAATCTGATATTGTTCAAGTGGTTATTGTTCTCCCAACAAAGTGGTATCAGAGCATTGGTTCTTGCTTGATTTTTCTACCTTATGTTAAACGATGGAAATGAATACGAGTAGAATGGTTACATTGAATGGTTCGAATTATCATGTTTGGAAAGGAAAAATGGAAGATTTTTTGTATGTGAAGGATTATCATTTACTCGTGTTTGCTGATGAAAAACCCTATTTCTCCATATTGATTATCATATGTCATATGGGCTCAAGCCTTGGGCTTGTAATTCATTGGACTTCCTCCACATGGCAGTGCACCTAGCTAACAAGGAAAAGTGACATGGAAATTTTGAGGAGAAAAGTGCCTATTTGATAAACAATGCTTGTCGTGAGATGGGATTCGATGTTTAACTAGAGAAGTGAGAATGCAAAGATGTGCTTTTGAAAATAGAAAATTACAAGTGAGCACTACGGTATATTTATTCAATTTTCCCTTAGTAAAATGTTAAATCTTCACAATTCGTGACATTCTCCTGATGTTATACCGATACTAATAGCCAGCCCATTCGGTGTTATTAGTTTCGCAGTAAGCGATGCCTATTGTTAATCAAAATTGTTACTATTTGGGATTGACCGCATACTTCGAGAAATGAAATTTTAGTAAATAAGGAAAAAATATATATAAAGAGTGCCCCTTGGACATATTTTTTTTTTTTAAGTCTTATCAAATTTGCTTTCAAGTCAATTCTTTTTTGAAGCAAGTTAATTAAAATGTGTTACTTTTCCATAGCCCATTCCTGGCCCAATGGGCTCTAAGTTCGTATCGAGCTGGAAGCTAGCACCAACCGCACACAAACTAGCCCACTGCAGTCATCTTCCCCATCAGTCGGATACAAAAACCCTAGAACCAGCCTCCAACATTGGCTTCTTCCCAAGAGCGTAGCTTCCCCACCCGCCGACGCCGACCGAAGAAGCAGAGGCAGACCCACCCTCCCTTCGTCAGCCGCCGCCGCCGCCGCCGCCGCCGCCGCCATCATGGGTCGCATGCACAGCCGAGGGTATGAACACCTCGAATCCCATCTGCTTTCTTGCCTCTTCGCTGTCCCGACCCGTTGCAAGATTCGCTCACTCTTGCCTTCTGTTTTCTGGGTGTCCCTCTTTCGTGGGTTTTCTTGATTCTTGGCAGTAAGGGTATCTCGGCTTCTGCTTTGCCCTACAAGAGGACTCCTCCGAGCTGGCTCAAGATTTCTTCTCAGGATGTAAGAACATTTTCGACTCCGTTAGTTTTGACTTTGTGGGATACTATGTAGTTTGTAGCTGTCGCCGGGAAGCTCAACTCTGCTGTAGTTATGAAGTTCGTCTTGGTAGTTTGTACCGAATTCGTTTGGAAGAAATAGGGCGGCCTGTACCCATGCATGACATCCTATCCGAAACTGAGTAATGTAGTCACTCTCATCTATTAGAATGGTGTTCGTAATTTGTTTACCCGACTATTGGTGGGAGGAAACCGTGGATGCTGTTTCACTTCCTCTTTCTGGGCTTATCTGTCTAATTGCTCGGTGTTGGACTCTGCACGATTCGGTGCCTGTTGTTATGTTTAAATCTCTGTCAAATCTTTGATGAAATAAGGCGTGCATATGGATAGTAGCGTGCTTCCAACTCTTCCATGCGAAATGGTGCGGCCGTTTGCATTTGAGCATGATCTGATCTGTTACTATTAAGTGATGGGCTCAGTTTCGAGTTCCGACGTTTGATGCAACATGAGTTATAGAGCCTCGATAACAGAACACTTAAAACTGATTGTCGGGATTATGTTTCTTGAATTTTTAGGTCGAGGAGAACATTTGCAAGTTCGCCAAGAAGGGTCTGACTCCATCACAAATCGGTGTCATCCTTAGGGATTCTCATGGTATTGCTCAGGTGAAGAGTGTTACTGGGAGCAAGATCCTGCGTATACTGAAGGCCCACGGTGAGAGTTTTTTACAGCTACTTGCTGTTTCTTTCTTTATGTCTATCTGTCTCATCTGCGCGACACACCCCACCCACCCCCCCCTTTTCCTGAACCCACAAGTCAAGTCAAGTCAAGAGACACTCAGGTGATGCTTTGCTTTCTCTTTCTGAATTTTACCAATGTTTTTGGGTCAGGGCTGGCTCCTGAAATACCTGAGGATTTGTACCACCTTATCAAGAAAGCAGTTTCCATTCGGAAGCATTTGGAGAGGAACCGAAAGGACAAAGATTCCAAGTTTAGACTCATCCTGGTTGAGAGCAGGATCCACCGTCTTGCTCGCTACTATAAGAAGACCAAGAAGCTACCACCTGTTTGGAAATAGTAATGTTCTTTTCTCTCATTTCTCCTTGCGTTCTTTGCCATATGAGTGTTGACTCTCCTTTTATGATGCATTGGTTGGGTCTTTGAAACTAAATTCTGAATTAGAGCGTCCATGGTTTAGCCACCTGAATATAGGTATTCCAACAGATATATCACACAAGTAACAGGTTGAGATTGTATGAATGTTGCTCACACCCCATGTATTGACATTTTAAGGAAAACGAGATACCATGTTATTAGTTCTAGCTTGCTTATTTTAGTGGTACCCTATTGGGTAGAGGAACTAAATTGAACCGTGCCTTTCTATTCTATTTTTCCTTAGAGAAGGTTGGGTCTCAACTAATGTCTATTTCTTTCACGTTGAGCATTCTCATTATTGATTCTATATGCTATTTTTGCTTATTGCTTGGTGATTTGTAGATGAACAAACTTGTTTCTGGCCTTTTTCTGCTTACAACTGTGTTTGTATATTTCATACTGATTATTGTGTCCTCATCTATGAAAATGTGAATGTGTTCTGCTTCCCCCTTTTTCAGAAGCATCTGCATCTGGCTCCTGATGTTCCACTATGTTAAGGAGTTGCTCTTTCCTTTTTCTTTTTTTATGTTTGGTCACAGAAGTTCTTTTCTTCAATCAATTGTTTTTGCTGGTGCATGTTCTGAGCTTGACCAAAAACACATCGCAGAATGGGTTCTTTTCATTTTGGATAACATGGAGAAATATTCTCTGGTTTAAACTACCGAATATTTTTCATTGAGAGGGAGGACTGGACATTCTTGTCCGGCAGCAGTTGAACAGACAATGAAATTAATTTGATGCTTGCCGAAGCATTGAAAGCAAATTATGTCTTATAATCTGGTAAGAGGATGAATATTTGCAGAGCTGTTGATTGGGATAAATCATGCTGTGGCTAAAATGGCCTTTTGGCGTCGTTTTACAGTAGACATATGGGATCTTTGTTAGTCAAAGATGATACCTTTGGTTTCAGCTGCTACTACTTTACTGACTTCTTGAGAATATTATAGTAAGCATCAATAAGACATATGTTTATTCTTTCTTCTGGATTAGAATGTTACAAGTTACTATGGTACAGTTCACGTTTCTGTTCTTCCATGGAAATTGCCTGATTCATTTTTCTCCGTGGCCGTGTCGTGATGGCTTGTTATATAAGCGGGAAGTGAGCGGCAATATTCTTTGTGATCGTTTTATTCCCTCTTCTACTACTACTACATACATGCTCAAGTCAAACTACTTTTATTTTTTTTTGCAGTGAATCTACAACAGCAAGCACTCTTGTGGCGTAGACAGTTGATGGCAGTTTCCAAGGGACGCCGCGGTCTTCACATTTTTATGTTCATTGCTTAAGACTGGATGTAACACATAGTTTTGGATCATCAGTACTTTAGTTTTTTTGGGGCTGTTTGAGAAATTGATTGTATGCAGGTCTATTCCTCCGTGTCTATGTTCTTTTCTGTTATCGCCATGATAAGTTGCTATCTCTTTAATGGATTAGCCTCGTTGGGACTCTTTGAGTCTATAGCCAGGAAGTTTCTGTCAAAACAATTCACTGAAGTTAAGGTAAAATGAACTTTGGCTTCTCTGTGCTCTTTCTGCTTTGTTTTTCCTTCTTTTTTTTTGGTAATTTCTTCACACCACTATGTAATAGCCCTTGAACTTAGAAAAGTCGCTGATTATCGTCTTAAACTTTGGCACCGTCGCATAATAGCCATGAACTTCGAAATTATCAGATTATTCCCCTGAACTTTTATATTTTTTTGTTAGTCAATTTCTCTTTTGTCCTCATAATCGTTAAATATCACTTTAAAATGGGCTAAGTCAGTTTCCTTAACCAGTATAAAACCTTGATTACGTGTTTATAAAGTTGAGAAAATTGAGAGGAAGTATGTTGATGAAGTTAAGAAAATTTAATAAAGGTCATTTCGGTCAAGATAAATGAGTCAATCCGTTTTCAAGTAAATCTTGGCGACCATACAAACGGAAAAAATTAGAGACCGCAACAAAAGTCAAAGTTTGGGGGGTATTCGGCAACTTTTTAAAGTTCGGGGACTGTTGTGCAATGGTGACAAGGTTCAAGAGGATAATTTGTAACTTTTTAAAATTTTTTTCTTTTTTAAAATTTTTTAATTTTTTTTATGCAGCACTTGGTGGCACTACATCGATGCCACATGTCTTGAGAAAGTAATTTTCCGTTTGCCAAAGTAGATGGAGTTGATTGAGAGACTTGATTACATCAATCTAACAAGTTTTAGGATTCAATTGTATTTTTTAAAAGTTTTAGGGTTCAATTATACTTTCGCGCAATAAGTTTTAGGATTTTCAGTGCACTTATTTCTCAAATCATTAAGGAGCAAGTACAAACCAAATAACTGAAAAAAATAATGACATATTCACTAAAGAGAAAAAAAAAATAAGATACTAATTATTTACCACGTTGACATACATGTAAAATTAATCAACGTGGGATATTCGAACCTTTGGCTCGTCTAATCTCTCTTCTTCTTTTTTTATGAGCACACTGGGCATAAATACCGTTCAAATGACCATGGCACGGTTGACATCGTGGTCATCCAGGACCATAGAAACGACAACCTCAATCTGAGGTAGATCCTATGACCTCAAAACTTTGTTAAAATGTGTAATTCTTTCATTTTTAGGATGTCTCAGAAAGTATTGTTTTCATTTTTAGTTAGGAAAAATAACACAAATAGTCCATGAACTTTGACTCAATGTGCAATATGGTCCATGAACTCTCAATTTGTTCAATGTGATCTCTGAACTACAGTTCAATATGCAATGAGGTCTCTGAACTTTTAAATTGTTCAACCTGATCCTTGGATTATTGTTACATGCTCAATTTAATTCATGAACTATATGAAAATGTTCAATATTGAGACTAAATTGAATATGTACCAATAGTCTAGAAATCACATTAAACGATTTAAAATTTTATGAATTTTATTGTATATTGGATCAAAATTCATAGACCATCCGTGTCAAGTTATTTTAACTAGTGCACGACATTGCAATTGACTGCTTTTCACCTTAGTTTACTGGCCCAATGGGCTCTCTTTTCGTATCGAGCTGAAAGCGAAAGGGACACCACCCAACCCGCGTACAAAATAGCCAGCCCACTTTGACCATCATCGTCTTCATCCCCACCATCGCTCGGATTGAAAACCCTAGAGCCAGGCTCGACCATCGGCTTCCCAGAGGGCAGCTAGACCGCCCGCCGACGCCGACCGAAGAAGCAGAGGCAGACCCACTCCCCCGCTTCGTCCGCCGCCATCATGGGTCGCATGCACAGCCGAGGGTAACACCTCGAATCCCATCTAGTTTCTTGCCTCTTCGTTGTCCCGACTCGTTGCAAGATTCACTCACTCTTGCCTTTTGTTTTCTGGGTGTCCCTCTTTCGTGGGTTTTCTTGATTCTTGGCAGTAAGGGTATCTCAGCTTCTGCTCTGCCCTACAAGAGGACTCCTCCGAGCTGGCTCAAGATTTCTTCTCAGGATGTAAGAACGTTTTCGACTGAGTTTGTTTTGGCTTTGTGGGATGTAATGTGTAGTTTGTAGCTGTCGCCGGGAAGCTCAACTCTGCTGTAGTTATGAAGTTCGTCTTGGTAGTTTGTACCGAATTCGTTAGGAGGAAACCGGACCTATACCCATGCATGACATCCTATCCGAAACCGAGTGATGTTGTCACTTTCATCCATTTAGAATGGTGTTTGTAATTTGTTTACCCGACTACTGTTGGGAGGAAGCCGTGGATGCTGTTTCACTTCCTCTTTCTGGGCTTATCTGTCTAATTGCGCGGTATTGGTTTCTGCGCAATTTGGTGCCTGTTGTTATGTTTAAATTTCTGTCCACTCTTTGATGAAATAAGGCGTGCATGTGGATAGTAGTGGGCTTCCAATAGAAAGGGCATTAACATGATGGTACTCTTCCATGCGTAATGGTGCGGCCATATGCATTTGAGCATGATCTGATCCAGATAGTTTTCTGTGACTATTAAGTGATGAGTTTCGAGTTCTGACGTTTGAGCATGATCTGATTTTTTCTGGCTCGCTGCTGCATGAGTTATGGAGTCCCGATAACAGAACACTAAAAACTGATTGTCAGGAATATGTTTCTTGAAATGTTAGGTCGAGGAGAACATTTGCAAGTTCGCCAAGAAGGGTCTGACTCCATCACAAATCGGTGTCATCCTTAGGGATTCTCATGGTATTGCTCAGGTGAAGAGTGTTACTGGGAGCAAGATCCTGCGTATACTGAAGGCCCATGGTGAGAGTTTTTACGGCTCCTTGCTGTTTCTTTCTTTATGTCTATCTGTCTCATCTGCGCCCACCCCCCCCTTTTGTGAACCCACAAGTCAAGAGACATTTAGGTGATGCTTTGCTTTCTCTTTCTGAATCTTACCGATGTTTTTGGGTCAGGGCTGGCGCCTGAAATACCTGAGGATTTGTACCACCTTATCAAGAAAGCGGTTTCCATTCGGAAGCATTTGGAGAGGAACCGAAAGGACAAAGATTCCAAGTTTAGACTCATCCTGGTTGAGAGCAGGATCCACCGTCTTGCTCGGTACTATAAGAAGACCAAGAAGCTACCGCCTGTTTGGAAATAGTAATGTTCTTTCCTCTCATTTCTCCTTGCGTTCTTTGCCATATGAGTGTTGACTCTCCTTCTATGATGCATTGGTTGGGTCTTTGAAACAAATCTCTGAATTAGAGCGTCCATGGTTTAGCCACTTGAGAATATAGGTATTCCAAGAGATGTATATAACACAAGTAACAGGTTGAGATTGTATGAATGTTGCTCACACCCCATGTATTGACATTTTAAGGAAAACGAGATACCATGTTATTTTAGTTCTAGCTTTCATATTTTAGTGGTACCATATTGGGTAGAGGAACTAGATTGAATCGTGCTTTTTGATTCTATTTTTCCTTAGAGAAGGTTGGGTCTCAACTAATTTCTGTTTCTTTCATGAGGATCACTCTCATTATTGATTCTATATGCTATTTTTGTTTATTCCTTGGTGATTTGTAGATGAACAAACTTACTTCTGGCCTGTTCTGCTTACCACTGTGTATGTGGGATGGTGCTAATCGAGAAGAGTTTGTATATAAGGTGTTTCAGATTGGTTATTGTATCCTCATCTATGAAAATGTCAACGCGTTCTGTGTTCTTCTTTTCAGAAGCATCTGCATCTGCATCTGCATCTGCCTCTTGATGTTCCACTATGTTAGGAAGTTGTTATTTTCTTTTTCTGTTCTTTTTCTGTTTGGTTTCAGAAGTTCTTTTCTTAACAATCAATTGATTTTGCGTGTGCATGTTGCTTTACCAAAAATACCTCCTAGAATGGGTTCTTTTCATTTTGGATAACATGGAGAAATATTCTCTGGTTTAAACTACTGAATACTTTTCCTCGAGAGGGAGAATGGACTTTCTTGTCTGGTAGCAGTTGAACAGAATGAAATTGATTTGATGCTCGCCCAAGCATTGAAAACAAATTAAGTCTTATCTGGTAAGAGGATGGAAATTTGCAGAGCTTTGTTTAATGCTGGGGCTGAAAATGGCCTTTTTGCGTAGCTTTAAATTTTAAATATGTGATCTTTGTTAGTCAAGGATGATACCTTATGTTTCAGCTGCTACGACTTCACTGACTTGTTGAGAATGTTATAGTAAGCATCAACAAGATATATGTTTATTCTTTCTTCTGGATTAGAATGTTACGAGTTACGACAGGACAGTTTATGTTTCTGTTCTTATATGGAAATTGCCTGATACATTTTTCTCTGAGGCCGTGTCGCGATGGCTTGTTATATAAGCGGATGACATGTCGCGAAAAATTGAGCGGCAATGTTCTTTTTAATCGTTTTATTCCCTCCTGTACTACTACATGCTCAATTCGAACTACTTTTCTTTTTTTGCAGCGAATCTACAACGGCGAGCACTCTTGTGGCGTAAACACTTGATGGGAGTTTCCAAGGGACGCCACATTCTTCACCTTTTTTACATTTGTCGCTTAAGTTACTGGACGGAACATATAGTTTTCGGATCATCAGTACTTTAGTTTTGGGGCTGTTTGAGAAATTGAATTGCAGGTCATTTTCCTGTTTGAGAAAGTGATTGGATTGCAGGTCTTTATCCTCCATGTATCTGTTCTTTTTCTGTTCTGGCCGTGATAATCTGCGAATTTCTTGAGTGGGATTAGCCTCGTTGGGACCCTTAAGTCTATAGCCAGGAAGTTTCTGTCAAAACAATTTACTTGATGACTTCATGTTAAGGGGAAATAGAGCATGAAAGTACTAGTTTAAAAGTACTCGTTGCACGCGATGTCGTGATCGAGTACAAAAATCGTCGTAACGGGTAAAATTGTTGTACAACATCACAATAGCGATTGTCGAGTATAATTTTCAAGAAAATAATGCATTTTTTACGAAACAAACAAACAGAGCTGCGTATTAATTTATCTTTAGTGAGAGAGAGGAGTTTACTATCCTTTTTAAGAGTTTTATTTTTCATTTTCATTGATTAAAAAATGTGTTTCATATTTAATTTTAACTTACTTTGGTGAAATTGTATGTATTCAGAACAACAGCAGCAACAAGAATAATTGGAGTTTCACTTTGAATATTTTCAGGACACTTATTAAACATAATTCACAGGGAAGTGTTTAATTTTCTAAGTACTGATAGGAACTGTGTGCACTCTACGGATCGCAATATTTCTTTATTGAGTAAATACACAAACACCTCAAAAACACTTGTTTATAATAAAATGTAAACTTCATAAGTTTCAAAATTTAGAAGGGCGAAAACAAAATATAAAGCCATTTTCCCGAATTAATAATTGAAATAAAAATTACCTCTCTCCACTCTTCACCGCTCCACGGTGTACCCACCAGAATAGATCCGAATCTCCCCCCACCCAAGACTAGCGGCGAGGGAAATCCGGCTGCTGGCCGGCTGCCAGAGTGCGAAACGGGAGAGGTTATATGCGTGTTGTATTTCTATTGGTGCTAATTCAAGATAAGATAGTTAAATATAGATCAAAACACATATCTTTTTTAGATCAATTTATTAAACATAGATGGTAATTACAAAAAATACATTAGAACATAAATTATCTATATAAATCATTGAAATCAAAATTAAAAGCAACCACTTAAAAATTACAATTTTTCAAAATCAGGATACATATTAAGATGACATATCTCTGCTACCATTCCATACTAGATCAACTTCTTTCCAGTTTTGACGATGTCCTCCACATCTGCCACTGCCATGACCTGCGGTAGCATCCGGGCTCTGTACTCCCTCCACCGTCGCCTTCCACGCGTCCTCTCGACCCCTTCCCCTTCCCTCCGCGGACATCTCTCTCCCCTGAGCTTCCCTCCGACCGCCATGGCCGACCCCAACAGAAGGACGACGCAGGGCTCCTCTTTCTCCGACTCCTCTCGTCCCGGTGAACGGTAAAAGCGCGACACCCCCCCCCCCCCCATCTGCCCGTTTTTGCGATTTCATTTCTGGGTCCGGTTCTGCGACGAGCAATTGGTGTCAAAGGTCGGAACTTGATCTTCTTTCTGTTTGTCTTCTGGGTCGGGAGCTGCAGCGGTGGCGGTAGAGGGAAAAGTCTGGACGTGGGCAGCGATCGAGAACGAACGAGAGGTCGAGGCGGTGCTGGCAAGGATAGAATCGACGCTCTCGGGAGACTCTTGTGAGAGTTCAATCCTCTGACGCTGTTTCATTGATTGTGTCTGTTTTCTTGAACTTCTTAGCTCTTTTGTTTGATTGGAATTTGAGCTAAATGGGTGACAGTGACACTGAATTTGTCATGATTATTATTCACCCTCCTCTCTGTTTCATTGGAAACATGGGGGATGATGGCGTTAGTGTAAATTTTGTGGTTTGCTGAAGATACTTGATCTTTTCTGTGTTCTCTGTCATTCCAAGCAAAGAGAAACCGGTGCTATCGGTCTTTTCTCGTTCTGTTCTCGAATGAAGTGTCTCAGAATTTGTTTGTTTGTTTCAGGACTCGCATTTTGCGCCACATGAGTGCTGAGTTAAACTTGAATATGAGGAGTGATGGGTATGTCAAAGCTCAAGATTTGCTTCAGTTGAATATAAAAACGTTTGCCAATGTACAGTTGAGGGCGCACACGGTTGATGAAATAAAGGAGGTATGACCGGTCATATGTATTGTGTTTTTTTTGGTCACGCATATGTATTGTTTCTCTGCATTGATTTTGTAGGTCCAGTCTTTACAAAAGTTGTCTTTGAATGTGGTGACTGGAGTTTATGATGCTTATTTGCTATATTGTGCCTTGTCCTTCTATGATGTCTGGACGTAGAGAATGTTTTGACGATGACTTTTCCTTCTTGTAATTAAGAGGAATAGTCATTTCTGCTCTTTAATTTCTTTTCACAGGGAAGTTAAGTTTTGATCAAAGAAGTACTGTAGTCATCCTGTAGTGCTTGAACCAAGCACCATAAATGTGTTTAGAATCTAGATAGTAACATCAGCCTAAGGTTGCCCCTTATTTTGGTGGGCATTGCCAATGAGGTCAGACTATTGCCATATTACTCTGATGGTTGCCTGGACTGATTCACTTAATTGTTCAATGAAGATGGCTTGGTAATGCCTTAGCATTGAATTTGACTTGATGCAAAACTGCTCTACTAAATCTAGACGGATATATTCCGAAAAGATTACCAGCAAGATTAAACGTATATGTTCTCAGAGATAAAAAGACATTTGTGGTATTAGAGCAAAATTTGCTATCCACTGAAAGAAGAAATCTGAAAATTAAGTACTCCTGTAGAGAGCAAAGTTCAAAACCTCCTTCCTGTATTGCATTTATGATCCCCAACAGTTGAGATATTTGGAGGTTTTCACTAGTAATTAACTCTATTGAACAATCTTGAGCAGCTGTAGTCATGGATCTTAATTAGGTGCTGCAACTTTCTTTTCTTTTCATTTAGTCATCAGAAAGTTGAGCTTGGATGGGATAGATGTCCTGTGAATCAGTCACGTGATTCGTATCTTGATTTGAAGTTACAGGAGATACTCCAGCAAAAAATGGTGACATTAGTGATAGTATTTCATTTTTTCTTATGGTTGTGAGGATCGTGCTCATATTTTATGATGGACTTTTCCAAATCCTCTAATTTAAGGGTTAAAAGTTACCACGGAAATCACTTCGCAGGGTTGATATTATATTTTCTTTGACTAACCTGACTGATGGGCCTTCTGTTTCTATCTTGCAGGCAGTGAGAAGGGATAATAAGCAGCGGTTCAGCCTCTTAGAAGAGAATGGGGAGCTTTTAATACGTGCAAATCAAGGTCATACAGTAAAGGTGATTAAACAGATACTTTCTTAAGTTGCTTTTTATTTTTTATTTTTGCAATCAAAACCCAATTGATTGTGCATAGATTGCTTCACTTTAGAATGATGTATCGTATCTGTTGCTTCGATAGTCAGTAACTCTGTGTAGAGTCCTCAATTTCTTCCCTTACAACCATGTATTAGCCAGCAATGCCAGAATTTTTCTTTCATCCATGTATTCGGTAGCAATACTGAAACATTTCTAAATCAAGATCTTAATCTGGCAATTCCACTTATGCTGTTAAAGTTGTCGGTTAACTGACTCTTTTAAGGGTGTGATGTTGCATCAAGATTTATCCACGTTGACTGGGTTGTTTTTAATGTTCGTGCTATGTTAGCTGCATGGGGTGCTGTCATATGTGTTACTGTAAATATACTTGTCAAGGTTCTAAATCAGCATGTCCTGTCGCCAGTTCTACATTAAAGACAGTCGATACATTTTGTGTGGGGATATTGTTTGAAGTGGGATGTATTGTACTTTAACTATTTGTTATGACATTTTTGCTCAGAATTCTTACAAGAGGTTTCAATCTATAAATACCGCGGATATACTTGTAGATCAAAAACAGGATATCTAGGTTGCATCTCTGGCTTGTGCTTTTCCTAATTATGCAGCATTATGCTTTAAATATTTTGGGAGCGTATGGATTGCATAAAGAATGGACTTATTAAAGGGTAAATTGCTCTGGCAACATATTGAATTTCAAAGAATATGCAGGGTTGATCTCCTCTTGATTATAAAGGTGCAGTCTCTCTTGTTAGGATATTTTGATGCTGCATATTGATGACTTGATTGCTCCCCTTCTGACTGATCGCTGCCTTCTGATCTAGCAATTTTGTGATACTCTTCATCTGTGATATGACAAAGGAGAAAAGTCGATCTTAGCTAATATAATCCTATATGGCATTTAAAAGATATTTATGTAACTGAAAGAGCAATTAATAAAGAGGTTGTGGACTCAAATTGGGCTTGAGGGAGGAAATGTAACTTTTGAGTTAGCGGAGGTGTCTATTCATTTTTCCAAAATCCAATTGGTCCTATTGCAACTTGCTTAGATATGTTAAGATTTCTCTTCCTGCAAAGAATCTGAATGGCATCTTAAACTGTTTCTGGCAGACTGTTGAGTCTGAGAGCTTGCTGGAGCCAATCCTTTCTGCTGAGGAAGTTTCAGGTGAGGATATGCAATTTTAGGCTTCCCATGTGTAGAACTTCTTTTAAATGATGCTTACTGCTCCGTGTCTCTCTGTCTCTCCCTCTCTCAAATGCAGTATGTGTGCATGGAACCTATAAGAAAAGTCTGCAGTCTATATTGGATTCGGGTTTGAAGCGTATGCAGAGATTGCATGTGCACTTCTCATCAGGCTTGCCAACAAACGGGGAAGTAATAAGTGGTGAGGCACTCATGAAAGTTTTCTTGCCTACCGTTCAATATCTTGAGCTTTTGCAAAGATGATATTATGTATAGTTGCTAATCACAATTGCTTGATGAACATGGTAAACTTAAATTGATGTAGTTATATGGGATGGACAAAGGGAATAGAAAGACTGCCGCACAAGTGAAGCCATCCGTTCAAAAATAAATAGATTTGCCTCATTTCAGTTGGCGTTCCTTATGGATTGATCGACCTTAGAGATAATTTCTAGTCCTCAGGAGTGCTAAAGCAATATAAGTGTTTCCACTAGTATCCAAAAAGTTGCGACGGTTTTTCATGTCTAGTACATGGTGGATAGATTTTGAACTTTGGCAATTGTACGAAGCTTATGATTTGTGCTGATTAATTTAATCACTAGACTTCATCCTTTGGTTATTGCATCAGACAACTTGACACTGACTTATTTTGTCTTCCCCAAACAATGTCCCAAAATAAATCCAAATCCAAGAAAGGAATGAAAAGAGAGGAACGAAAGTTGATGGCCTAAAGCCACTGTGTCTATCAATACTGCCAGGAGTTTCCGTAGTTTTGTAAGCATGGTGTTGGCATGTTTGTTTGAAAATTAGTTTATCCATTGTCCTGGTTCCTCTGTGTTTTGTTTTCTTTGCTTTTAGTGCTGCTGTACAGCAAGGAAGTTTAGAAATGCATGCTCGTTCTCAGAACTTCATTTCGCTATGACATTTGTTCTCAGTAACGCACCAAGGAAAAAGTTAATTAGAGTTTTGCCTTTTCTCTCATTGTCCAGAGGGTAGCTTCCTTTCTGCATATTTATAAACAGGAAGTACTAGTTGTGTTATGATATGGCTGTCATGTGTTTTTGATAGTTGCGTGATTCTACTTTTCCAGGCATGAGGAAGAACGTGAATGTTCTGATCTTCCTTGACGTAAGAAAAGCTCTAGAAGGTACATCCTGAATTCCAAATTCTCTCAATTTTTATCATTCCAGAAGGTTATTTGAAAAATCTTTTGTACATTACTAATTTGCCTTATTACTGTGTGTACCGTGTTAACTATCGTCAAGCAAGACTCTTGATGATTAATTCCTACTCTATGTCTTATTGATAGATGGGATGAAGATTTACATTTCGGACAATCAGGTCATCTTGACTGAAGGTTTTGATGGGGTTGTACCTGTTAAATACTTTGACAAGATATTATCATGGCCAGATAAGCAAGTCATACCTTTTGAAAAAAAGTGAATGTAGTGCAACAAAAGCTACATGAGAGAATCTACTGAGTGCTCCTATTTTCCTTCAACATTGGCAGATCATAAATCGGCAATTTTATCAATTTCTGGATGAAAATGTATGTTTATCTGATGAAATGATTAGATATACATTTTTAGTAGCTTCCATGTTAAGAGCCTTTTTTTTCCTTGTACATTCTTTGTACTTTAGTTTCCTGCTTAACAAAGATACCATTTTTTTTATGTTACTCCAACTCTTCTTTTTTGGTTGCTTACCGTGCCAATAGGATATGGCGTAGGTGTGTCTATAACGTGTGATGAAGTTCTCATTGTAGAACATTTCTTGTTGTGTCTTATTGCACAACTATTCCACTACTTAAGCATTGTTAAAAAGTTTCCAAAAATTATTTATCAAATTTGAAGGATAATAATTATTAGAGCACCATAACATTCATACAATATCACATTCTAAAGAGTTTTTTTATTTTTGGTGTCGGGTACATAGCCATACCCGACACTCAAATGTGAGATCAGACTTGATGTGAACCTCATGCGTTTGGGAAGGTCTGTGCATCGAAGGCCTATCACGAAATGAAAGAGGCACTCGTCTTTTTATCCTCTTCAACTCTTTCGTCTGAGTTTTGCAGGTTGATGTTACAGATCACAATTGACACTGGATAGAGCACATTGCACCTTTATTTAGATGACCTCAGTGAACCTAATGCAGGTCCTCATCGTAAATGATCGGAATAGGATGTCATTCTTTTCCCTAGCCCATCTTTTCCACCTTTTTTAGCAGCATCTGCAGCGATGATTGATGAAGTCATTTCACTGCGGCGACATGGTTTGAACTCAATGTAATTATGCAATGTCTGGTTTGCGTCTACTTCTCTACTTTTGTTAATTCGGAAAAGAGAGCTCCAACCGGCTCTTTTTCTTTTCGATTCCTGTCTAAGTTGTTAAGTTCTGCGTATCCCATCCCCGAATACGATCCTAGAGTCTTGTTTCTTGTGGTGCAAAAGCTCGTTTACTGTACCACTTAGACCGCTCGCTTTGTGCTTTTGTTCTGTTTTCTTCACTTTTGGTTTCTTGCTTTTCACGTCCAGGACATGCTGCAGATTCTCTTCTCTTTTTGCCTTATATTTTCTTGCGTTGCTTGCTGTTGTTTCCTTCATTTGCTTTGTTCTGGCTCCGTCATACTTAGTAAAGAGAAAAATACGAGACACGCCTGAATTGCCAGCCTTTTCCCATTAATCTCCACAAATTCACGAAACTGCAAACACATCAAGGAAACCATATTGACCGGTGCAGAACTATAGTAAATGCTCACAGGGCTTCCTTTTCCTTGTCGGAAGACATGAAGTTTTATACATCGAAAATGATAACATTCGTACCAAAGCGCGTAGCAGCAGAAGCTTCACGGACACATCGAAATAGTCCCAAGAGTCCATTTATTGGCCACGATTGGCTGTGAGATAATGGAAACAAAGACACCTGAAAGTCATATTCTAGCCTTACGAAAACAACAGATGACTTGATCTCCTCAACTTGCATTATTCAATCTTATAGAATGAGATTGAAGTTCAGTTCACCTTAAGCCAAAGCAGAAGCTTCTACTACAATGGCACATAAAGAGCACCAAACCAAGTCATGGGCTATATATTCCTTTCTCAACTACCACCTGCATTTAACTCGCATATAAAAGCAAAAACATCTCACTCAACTACCTCCTGCACAGCTTTCCTCTGACAAAGACCCACTGATTGCTTGGCCATATTGAACCCACCTAAGCTTGCATTTGGTGACTCGGTAGGTGCAATGAAAGCGAAAAAGCCAGTTAATGTGGAAATTGCCTAATTAAATAATGGTGAGGATGTCCTAGAGACCCCATCTAACCTAGATCAAATATGAAGAATGCACGACAGCGACGGACCGACCATTAACAATAATTGTTTTCCTCGCACATGCTAAGTATGGATCTCCTGTTTAGCTAACTAGAACACTTAACGAATTCGTTAATTCTGGCGACATCGAGCCTACTTGTAGTTAAACAAATTGCCTGGCAAACAAGGAAAAGAAGTCCTCACGGCCAGATTCGAGCATCCACCTCCACACCCTCCGAGATTTAAAAACATGGTCACATCAGGCATATACCTCTAATAACATTCATATCTACACCCGACTTCTTCCATCCGGACTGCTAATTTTTTTTATCGCAAAACACCATCCCTAGGTTTTTGCTGTGTCTTTACACTTACAGGAGTAACTTAAGCTGAAATATAAGCCGTAACTTACAATAGGGTCATGCTCCAAGTGACCACCTCGCACAAGCAAAAACATCTCATTATGGAAGCTAATAGACAAAAACAGAGCTAAAACCGTTAACCTCATAAGCACGTACACTACTGACAATGCAACAACGAATCAGACAGAGACGAGGAATGAGCAATGAGAATCAGACTACAGTGGCACAGGTAGTCGAAGTAAACAGGGATAGAGATAAGACCAGATACTGGATATAAGCTTTCTGTGTAGCTCAACCACCTAGCCAACTCTGTTGATTCAGCTGTCATCTGACTAGGGCTGAATCCAACAAATGCTAGTTGCAAACTAATTGAGAGCTACAAGATCATAGTAAGTTCAAATATCACTGATGCAGCCGCATCAAGACATAAGGATAATCAAGATGATAACATCACCAACATGGGAAGCCCTTGGAGGAAGCAAGAAACACAGCAATACCATGAAAATGCAACTTGATAACCTACATTAAATTAAAATGTTTCCTCTTTTTTATTGAAACTTCATGGAAAGGATACATGTCCATCCATCCTCATATGCTCTATGAATCACTAATTCTACAACCCAAAACTACAAGAATTACATTCTCCAATGATTAAAAAGAATTCAAAAGAAAGGTGGTTCATTTTATCTGATACAGCTAGGGGGGAATCTCTGCCAACAATGTCCATTTACACCATAAAACTTCATACTACGACGAGATCCCCCCCGATATGGGCACCGCTATTATATAGGCACAGACAACAATCGTGGAAATGAACACATAAATGTTAGAAATTGGCCATAAGAATCATAACCAATAGGATCTAGAGAGAAAGCTAATGTTTTGCAACCAAAAGAATGTCATACACCGCTCTTCTTGCCATCGGCATAAAATCTAAGGTACCATCGAACGAATTTCTTCAAACCGGACTGAAGATCTGTGGTCGGCTTATATCCCAGCTCCCGCTGAGCCGAGCTGATGTTGGCATGAGTATATTGCACGTCCCCATTCCGCGGCAACCTCAGGATGTTCCTCTTGGCTTTCACTTTCAGAAGCCTCTCCAAAATGCTGACAAGGTCGGAAACAGGAACCGGAGAAGTATTCCCCAAATTAAACACCCTCAATTGTGCCGGTCCTTTCTTCTTCCCCCCGCTTCCCATGCTCTTCTCCGCGGTATCCAGAGCCGCTAAACATCCCCGCACAATATCGTCAATGTAGGTGAAATCCCTCGCGACCGTGCCGTGATTAGCAGCCTCAAAGATCGAAATAGACTTTCCCTTCAATATGTCTCTAGTGAAAAAAAAGTAGGCCATATCAGGCCTTCCCCAAGGGCCATAAACAGTGAAGAACCGCAACCCCGTCAAAGATAGACCATAGATATGATTGTAAGTGTGTGCAATTTCTTCGCCGGCCTTCTTCGTGGCTGCGTACAAGCTAGCGGGTTGGTCTGTCCGATCTTTCTCCGAAAAGGGCACTTTGGTATTGAGTCCATATACAGAACTAGAGGATGCCCAAACAATTGCAGGCTGTGGATTGGCAGACTTACAGACCTCAAGCAAGTTAACAAGACCAGCAATGTTGCTATGCACATAAGAGCTAGGATTCTCCATTGCATACCTCACTCCAGCCTGAGCGGCCAAATGCATCACATGAGTGAAGGCCACAACCTCAAACAATTTCTTCAAGAGGGCCTCATCGTTGATGTCCCCCTCCACGATGAACACGCCGGTCCGCTCCAGCAGCGCCTGGCGGGCGCGCTTCAGGGATGGGTCGTAGTAGTCGTTGAAGTTGTCGAGCCCGAGCACGCCGTCGCCGCGGCGCTTGAGGGCGGCGGAGACGTGGGTGCCGACGAAGCCGGCGGCGCCCGTGACGAGCACGGACATGCCGTTCCGGGACCGGATGCGGGCCGAGGACCGGACCCGCTTCTCCCATGCGGCGCCGCCCCAGCTGTAGTTCTGGAGGTAGCGGCGGGAGGGGTCGGAGAGGGCCTGCGGGGCGGAGGAGGAGGACGGGGATCGGAAGAAGAAGATGAAGATCAGGGCGAGGAAGATGAAGGACCAGAATGTGAGCTTGGCGAGGGAGGAGTGCCACCTCAGGCGGCTGTAGGGGGACTTGTCCATCTTGAACTTGCCCGGCGTCGAAGGTATGTTGTCCAGATGCGAGATTTGCTTCATTGGTAACAATGCCGGATCTGTGAACGCCTGCCCAAGATTTTCCTTCTTGTTGATGTGATCTCTCTGCTCCTCAATTCAAGAAATCAAGCGGGCTGCTTCTTGCTCAGGGGGGGAGTTTCACGAGCTCAGAGCTGATTCGGAGAAATGGGTGTTCAAGAATCTGTCGCCGCCGGCTTGGGCGGTGGTGGCGGTGGCGGTGGAGGTGGTGGAGGAGGAGGAGATAGGGAGGAAGAACATGAAGAAGATAGGGGAAGTGGGAAAGTGGTTTTGGTCTGAAACTTTCCTTTATGGTCTCTTTCTTGGCATTATTGTGATTAATTAAAAAAAAATTTCCTCAGGGGAAGAATCTTGTGGTTCCTTGAATGGAAGGTTTGGTGGTGGTGGTGGTGGTGGTGGTGATCTTTACCCTTGGGGGGTTCATGGTATTTTCAGACAAGGTGATGATGATTGATGATGATGATCTTTGAGGATCAAGAAAGTGGCAACGGGGGGTGGGAGTCCTTTTGAGCAAATGGAGACCCAAGAAGGGTCAAAGAGCGGTCATTAATGAATGAGAATGAGTTGGAGGGGGGTTTCTGTTTATTTTCTTGTTCTTTCTTGAAATGCTTAAAAATAGGGAATCCAAGCTCTAGGGCTACCTAAAAATATCACAAGCCCTTGAGAATGACAGGAATAGCAGAGCAATGTCTATCTTCCAATCACACACCCGCCACAAAAAGATGGATTTGATCAGATTGGTTGGGAATGAATGAATGAATGTCCTTTGGGTCAGTGCTTTTAACCTCCATCCCCTCCTTTATTTAGGGGGTGGAATGTTTGTTTTAGGTGGGACTGGATCTTGAGGTCAAGAATGGAGAGGCCTCCTATTTCCTAGTCTTTCAAGTTTCAACCAAGAGGGGATGGGATTGGGAGAAAGAAAGGGGAAGATTGGTGCCCCTGTTTCTTTGTTTTTTGTTTCTGATGATTTTTTCACCAATTAGTTTCTTTGTGAATGCTCCTAATCTCAAGCTTGGGCAGTTTGATCGAAGAATCGGAACTTCAGGCTTCGATTGTAGTGAAATCTCGAGTTTGAAATTATAATTCGGCACTAAGAGAGGAGGGATTCACGAATTCTGGGAGATGCTTAGATTGAACAGCTTATGCAAGTTTGAGGACTTGTTTTAAAAAAGGGTGATTAATACGCTCTCGGAGAAACTTAATTAGGAAAATAGAAGAGCTTGGTTAGAAAATAATTCGAGTTAATAATTGAGTTTATGAGAGTGAACGACGTGTTCTGGGAGGAGCTTGACGAGAAAATGTACATAATTTTGAGAACTTGATTAGACAATGCTAAAAGTTGAACACTCGATTAAAAAAAAAGAGAGCATGAGTTTAGCAACAAGTAGAGTTTTACCTGAATTCTTTGGTGAAGCCCACCGTTTGGAATTCCAGAGGAAACATACCGTTGTCTTTCTCCATAAATATGGGCTTTTGGACTAAACCGTTGAACACTTAACTTCACGATAATATTATTATAATAAGAGGACATGAGTTTGTTTTCTCTCCTTCACTCCTTAATAGGGTTCCTTTCTTTATCAACTCCTGCGTTCAACTTCTTACCGTCCTACCATAATTCATATGAGAGAAGTGTTTAGACATAAAAGATCAAATTCGTCAACATATTTTACCATCTGAATAATTGTCGGTTGTCACTAATAGAAAACTATTATATGCATAAGGTAAAGGATCATGTATTTTTTGGCAGGTTTAAAATGTTTTTTTTAAAGTAACCAAGTCTTTGCTTTTGTTGAAACGCAGTTTTTTTGCCAAGTATTTCTAGTTTTTTTTTGTAAAGACTGTTTAATTTTAGTTGAAAATCCATTGAAACAATTGAAGCCCAAAAATAACCAATTATGAGCAAAAAGTGATCAGAAAAAATTATCTAATACCAATGAGCAAAGACCAGATTCCCCATGTGATGATCTGGTGTTACAGAGGACAAAGGGAACACTCCCAAAGTAGTCTTCTCAGAGCTGGAATGCTGGCCCATGCTTTCTTGTGCAGTTAATCAGAACACAAGATCGGAGTGCAACTCTGACACATACAATTAAAATACCAAATATAAAGTACTCTCGAATTCCTAAAAAATAGAAATACTGTACCCTGCATGTTCCTAGCTGGAGAGTTGCATCAGTGACTGTTCTTCACATGTTGTCCCATAAAAAATGTAGCATCACATAATTTTTTTTCTTTTACCTCTTATGGTCGTACAGAATCAAGGGAATGAAACAGAGGACAGAAACTTTCTACATAATTTGTCAGCTGAAGTTTAGTTTTTTATGCATAAACCAGAGGGCAGTCGACAAATTGCCTGACAAAAACAGCAGGAGATTTTGTAATGTAATGGCAGGTTAATGGTAAATGGGTTTTAGTTTAATGTCTCCAGCTTGTTATTAGGAAACATTGCATCCTCCACTTGCCATAAAATATGTGGATTTGATTACAGGAACATCAGCTCAACTTGCAAGAACAAGACAGAAGACACCACACACATCTATGGCCTTCATCAGAACATCAGATAAGCAAAATCTACATTTTTGAACTGCTAGATCTCCCTTGTGGGTGTTTCCCTATGTATTGCCCTTGATTCAGTGAAAAAGCAATAAGGGTTTGACGGGAAACTGTGGCAAGACAAATGCCAGAGACATCATAAGCTCAAGGAAATTGAAAACTTCAGCACATATTATCGACCGCGATTGGGCTTATTGAAACCGCTATTTGATTCGAAACTTTATGCTTTTTTCCAGCTAAGCTTTTTCCTAAATTTGACTGACGAGGTTGCATTGCTTGCTTCACTAACATCCGTGGCATAAGCAATAAGCAAGATGACCTTTGTTGACTTTCTTGGCGTCTGTTGATGTTTATCTTCCATTTATCTACCGTTGACCGTGGTGGTCTCCTCGTTTTGGTACTTTTTCTCCCATCAGATCTTATATTTAATAGCATCGTGCCTACAGGATTTCAGAGCATTTGATTAGAGTCAAAGGGCAATACTCATAAGTGAAATTTCACCAACTATTTGATGGTCTTCCACAATAATCCATTTCTTCAACTCTTCCAATGCTATAACTTCAAACGATCTGCCATTTTGGGTAAGATAAACTCAGGCTGTTTATTCACAAATTTCTCTTTTAACAAAATGTTACGTATTCAGTTTGCCGTGATAATCAAAGAAAAGTTACTTACAGCTTTACCCAGAAAAAGGGAAAAAAAGTCATTCCAAACATGATCTCAAACACCGTTACCAGTTACCACAAGGGACGGGTTTTTACATTTTTTTTTTCTTCCTTACCAGCAACTTTCCTTGGTCTAACGACAGGTTAGCAATAAAGGGAGCGAAAACTCGTGACCATCGAACGACTAAGGCATTACACGTCAAGGCACGAGATCTCAAGTTCGACTCTAATCCATGCAAATCTGGAGTCTAGACCGCACGAGAGCAGAGGTAGTTCCACCACAAAACTACTAGTCTCGGCCGGGAGTAGCCTGCCTTTGACCGATTTGATGAGGAGAAATAACCCGGTGTACTCCGCATACCACCTTCTAGTTCTACGACAAATCCTACACGGGCCATATTAGTTAAACCAAGGACGTTACGATCTCCACAAGAAAGGGTGAATAGGCCGTCTTACCATGTTAGGTCACAATAGAAATATGTCCAGAACTCTCCCAAGAGCCGTAGCTCCGCAGATGGCTTGCGCATCTTGTAACGACAAAATTAACTGCAGCCCTTTCAAATGGCTCGCAGTTCTATCACTTTGTGAGAGTAAATACTTGGAACAGACACTAAGGCCTAAAGCTTAATGTCGATTATTTGCCTCATGAAAAGCCAGACTGCAAAATGTTGACATGGCTTGGTACTTACCGAACTTACAAGCAACTAATTGGCCGAACTTCATTAGTTGCTTCATCATGATCAAGCGGTTGTCTACAACTTACAGTACTAATGGACGACTCGCCTACACAAAAATTGGCTAGTACAGTTCCCCGATTATATTAAGATACGAGGCCCTCTTGAAACTTTATAGGTGAGATCCAAGAATACAGTCCAAGAAAGAAGAAAAAGAAAGGCATAGCTCCAATAATCATGTATAGGGAAACATACAATCAGACTACAGGGTATGACATTGCTCAGGGGTTGTGGTGGGCATTACCAACACGCCCGCTCACATTTTTTTAACGGCTTGTAACACTCTGGAGAACTTCGAAGTAGTCGGGGAAAGTTTTTCTTGTGCAACCTGGATCCTTGATAGTAACCGGAACGTCTGCACAAGCAGCAAGTGAAAAGGCCATGGCCATTCGGTGATCATCGTACGTGTCGATAGCTGTCACGTTCAGTTTCTCTGGAGGAGTAATCACGCAGTAGTCTGGCCCTTCTTCAACCGTTGCGCCCAGCTGGAAGAACCCAAATTTCACCTCAAAGAAGATCTAAAAACATGGACAAGGTTTAGATATTGCAGAAACTACAAGCTCACCTTTCTGAGCTCTGTGCATATAGCAATCATTCGTTCTGTTTCCTTCACTCTCCAACTTGCCACTGAAAACAAAGATTCAAAGGAGATTTTTCCTTGAGCAACTTTTTCAAAGAAATGACTTCAGAGATGAACAGTATGTAATAATTTCCTGATGCTTTGATGATAATAATGCTTTCCTAGTAGCATAAATGCACTAGTGCCAGGCACAGCTAGGCTGTTCTCTGCACCCACTGCTGACAGAAGCGGCTCTTCTTTTCTAATAAGCAATTCATATTTTCCTAATAGGGCCGCAAGAATTCATGGCTCACAAAGAGGTCACTCTATAAAGCACAAGAGGAAGGGGGACAACAAAAATTTAGGTACACTCGAACTGGAATGTCTACTTTGGCCGCAGAATAACCATAGAAGGTACAGTGCTGCTGTATAAGGGGCCTAGAGAATGAAAACGCCATCTTCCAAAACTATAGGCCTATCATATCCGAGGAAATAAGGCAATGTTCTTAAAGAAGAGGCATCTAGGTTCAACCACCTGTAAGATTGACTGTCAACTAGCTTGTGATAGCGGATTAGTAACTCAGTTAGGATGTTTTGCTTCTCAGGACAAAAATCCATAAGCTAAAAAGATCAAATCTCTCCCTAGAGAAAACACGAAAATTCCCAAAAATCAAATAACCCGCAAATCCTAACACCCAAACACCTAATCTCTCTCTCTCCCACCGGTTTTCGGTCGATGAGGTCAGAAGAGTGGTATGGGTATTTTGGAAGAAAGATGAAAATTTTATATATAGAGTTATAATATTAGTTAATGTCAAGTATAATGTGAAGTCTACAAACAAAATACAGGGGCGAAGTAGTGGTTTAAAAGTAGAAAATGCAAAGTTGTAATGGAGCAAAAGGTGAGTTTTACTTTTAGTATTATACCACTAACTTAGAACATGACTACACGTTGTATCCAACAATAGATTAAAATCAGATGCACACATTACGGCAAATGACTGACATAACTGAACCATACCATCTCTAATTGCAGTGGGCCCATCAGCAAAAAGTGCAACCACTGCAAGAGTCATGGCAACATCTGGCATTTTATTCATGTTGACATCAATAGCGCGCAAATGCTTTCTTCCAAACGAATTCCGTGGAGGTCCAGTCACAGTAACACTGTTCTCTGTCCAGGTGACTGTAGCCCCCATTTTCTCAAGGACTTCAGCAAATTTTACATCGCCCTGTATTAGAAACAGTTGACAATCCAAAGTTTTTCAGGCACATTTTTGATAGACGAGAAGCCCACGAATAATGTAACCAGCAACGTTTCTTCTCATAAAATAGGGACTATCATAGTTTAGTGATAAAAATAGTTAAAAGTTGAATCTTTAGGACAGAATCTGAGATTGGGTCTACATACCTGTAAACTACTTGTACCGCAACCTTCAACAGTAACAGTTCCCCCAGTGACGGCTGCACCTGCTAGGAAGTAACTAGCACTTGAAGCATCACCTTCCACATAAGCTTTTCCAGGAGTCCTGTCAATTTATGGATCGGTTAAACTGAAGATATGAAAACTGTTAAGTCAACCAACCACAAGGCACATAGCACAAGGACTACCTGTATTTCTGACCTCCTTGGACCAAGAACCTATCCCAGCTACCACTGTGCTCAACAGAAACCCCAAACCGTTCCATTAACTTTAGAGTCATCTCAACATAAGGAATGGAAATTAGCTTGTCAATGATCTCAATCTCCACATCCCCTAGAGATAAAGGAGCAGCCATTAGCAAAGCAGTCAAGTATTGACTACTTATGGATCCAGACAACTTCACCTGCAAATTCCCATAAGCAATACATTTTATTGGTGGACAATAAATTTCATGGTGATAAATGCTATCTTCAGAAACAGAATTTAATTCACGTAAGAGTAACATTATCACTCATAGTGGAGGCATTTACGGAGTTCTATCAAATTTTCTGTGAGATTCTACTTCGAGATCTAATCTCAGACACAGTCACTAGAAGCAATGAACAGGTAAAAGAAAATTCAGAAACAGTATAAAAAGCAAATCGCCTCCCAGGATGATAGACGTCCATTGGTCCATCCCATTTTCTCACTAGCTCTTTTAGACTTGTTTAGAGGGATAGGCCTGTGCAATAGACTGGTTGGGTAAAGAATGTGCACGAATGGTACCATGCCTATCCAATGGCTCTTGTGCCTCGCAGAGTAGGACTACTTGCATTTAGCCATCGTAAAGCTATATCAAATAACATAAATCTCGATAAATAAAACATGACAGTAACATTAATTGTGTAATTGTGTAATTTTGAAATGCTTAATGATTGCTAAAGCACACCCACCTTCCCCCCTGGAAGGCCACCCTTTGCATTAATGCGCACAGGAGGACAGTTTGTGCCGAGGAAACAATCGACATCTGCCCCAAGCTGCTTTAGACCAGTGACCAAATCTCCAATAGGTCGCTCCCTCATTCTCGGCACTCCATCAAGAACGTAGCTGAAGTAGTTTAAAGCAACAGATACATGAAGATCAATCAAGCACAGAAATGGAAGCAGATGAAAAGAGAATACTTTAGAAAAGCAATGCAAGTAGCTTGGAAAGATGAAACAATAACAAATATGAAGTGATGCAGCTGTGTTCTTAGATACCAATCAAAAATGCTTTTTCAAAAAATTTCTGCCAAAACAACATCAAGAAGAAGACACGCAGCCAGTACTACACACTTTAGCACAGACAATTTTTTTTATCTGGGCATGGGCATATGCTATCTCTCTATGCAATTGCCAGAATCAGTTTGGTTAGATGCTATAGTACATCAATGGAAGTACAATTCATAGTACTTAGTCTAATGATGTTATCATGTCCTATTTCTAGATAAATGATAAAGGCAAAAGGAACAAGTGCAAAAAATTGATTATCGAAACATCAAAAGCAACATCCTGAACTGCCATCGTTGTGTCTAAATTGCTTTGGCTAAATGGAATTGCACGGCATACCAGGAGTTTCCACCTGCAGCAGTCACTGCAGCTGTCAATGGACGAATTGCTGTCCCTGCATTTCCAAGGAAAAGTTGGACTTCATCTCTCTCTTTTCCAGCGGGAAACTGACCAGTGCAACCTTCCACGATGGCCCGTTTGATAGACTTGTCTTCCTCTACATTCAGACCAAGAGCTCTCAATGCTCCAATCATGTAATGGACATCATCACTATTCAACAAGTTGTCTACAACAGTTGTTCCCTGAATGCCAAATAAAGGAGAGAGAAATCAAAAGAAGAAAGAATGAGGACCATGTTTTATCAGAACAGAACCCGAAAACAAAGAATGAACCAGCCATTAAGATGCATACAATAGCATTTCTGTAGGAAAAAAATACAGAGGCAGATGCTTCATAGAATACTTCAATAGGAAGAGCGATGCCACCATCAAAAGTCAAACGTATACGACAGATTTTCGCAGCAGCTCATGTCAACAAATTCTTTTTAAGTTTACCACAATGAGTCATGGTCAGAGCAGAATATGAATAGAGATTTGTACATGTACCAACTGCTGTATGACTGTATAGCCATAGTACAGCAATGACGAGCAAAAGCTATTTTCCTTCCACAGAATTCAGCGAAATCGCAAGGTTCAAGATACGCAACCAATTCTAACATTCCCATTACTAAGTGTAGGACCAAGTGATCTGCAAGAGAAAGCATAATTACCATCACCCTCGCAAAAGTTTCTGATCAAGCACATAAAGGGCTAGTTTTTTTTAACCATAATTCACACACAAATTAAAATGTCTCTTGTCATTTCCTGATTCGATCAGCGCAAAAACTAGCACCTCTATTGCAGCACATTAGACTCCACCTAAAAAAAATCGCTCACTCCAAGCAAGAAGATCCACCATTTCACAGTAAACACAACAGCACAATTCACATCTAATTGCTGTAGAACAACCGAGAACCCCCTACACAACCCACAAATCAAAAAGGGCTTTCCTTTACCTCAGAGAGAGCCGCAAGAAGCAGAACCCTATTGGAAAGCGACTTCGATCCCGGCAACTTCACCGCGCCGGAGATCTCTTTAATCGGTTGCAACACAATCTCCGGTACCTGGGACGGCTTCTCAGCCGTGGCGACCGAAGCCGCGACCTTAAAGGAAGGAACTTTAACCGAAATCCCCTGATTCTTGCAATGCTTCTTCAGCTCCGAAACACCCAAGAACTGAGACCCCAAGGCAACCGAAGCGGCGAATCTGGGTCTCGAGCTCTTGGCAAGAACCTGCGTGTTCAGAGGGCAATTTGGAGTCCTGACGGCGTGGGCCATTGTCCTCTCTCCCCTCTCTCCTTCAAGAAACTCAGTCCTCGCTTGCCAAGATCGCGCTTCTGGGCTTCTGCGATGGAGGAGGTAATTAGAACGAATGGGGATGGGGGGTCTTCGCGTCGTGGTTGGTAGCGTTGGTGGAGTATTGACTCGCCACGAGATCTCTCTCAACGACCAACTCGGGCAGTTGCACGTAACAGGGGAAGTCTCGGTTTTTTGGCAAGAAATTACGTGAACGAGCGGCTCATGTCGGAGTGGGGTCGCATCATGCTTCGGGCGAAACCTCAGTGGCAAGTGTTTTGCGAGCTCGTGTCGTGATGTTTGGTTTGGGATGATTCGGAGTTGGTGAGTTGTGGTTGGTAAGGTAAAAGGGCCTGTCTGTGACGGGTTCGAGCGAGAAACGTTTTCTTGCGGTGTCGATTGCTCCTGCCCACCAACCCACCCCACTTACCCCGTTGTTTTGGGCCCCGGAGATAGCAGAGGGAGAAGATAAAGAGTTGCTGTCGTGTTCTTCATTTTGTCCCCTCTTATTTCTACTTCTTTTGCGGGATTAATTATCCAAAAACTTTTAAACCTATTGCACTTTTCAGTTCTAAACCTTTCATCTTTGCCAATCGAGTCTAGAATATTTTTATATTTTGCCAATTGAGTCAATCCGGTCAATTTTGGCCGAAAATCTCTAACGTGTATACTGGTCATCCCTCGTAAGACGGCGCTAACGTAGATAATTTTTAAAAATATTTTGATATTTTTTTGAATTTATTTATTTATTATTTTGTTTTTCCTTTTTTTTTTCCTTCTCCCTCCTCTAGCCGGTCGCTAGGCGTTAGGGATAGCCGATGACCCCTAGAGTTGAGGGCTAGCGAGGTCAGCCTCACCCAACCATGGCGAGGGCTAGGCGGGTGAGCTTTGCTAGAGGCCACTAGCGACCTCACCAACCCTCAGCAACCGGCTAAAGGATGAAGAAGGAAAGGAAAAAAAAAATAAAGAGAAAGAAAAAAAAAATTATAAAATTATAAAATTTTGTCCACCTTAGCGCCAAACGCGCTACGTAGATCAGTTCGCATCCACGTCAATGATTTCCCGCTGAAATTGACTAGATGAACTTAATTGGCAAATCATGAAAATGTTTAGTACTCAATTGGCAAAAGTGTAATAGATTTAGGACTTTTTTTACAATTTTTGCTTCTTTTGCGCAACTTGGTCAGCAGTCTCTTTTTGTGCTCTGTTTTCTTTGAAATTGCAATTGGTTTGGGAGACCAAAGATTCCATAGGAATAAAAGTTCAAAAACATATCTGGTTATGTCCTTTTCGGAGTCAAGATTAAGAAGTGGGATTTCATTTGAAAACAATACGATCTTTCGAAATGTAAATTTTTTTTTCACAAAAACCTCTTCTTTAGCATGTATTGATAAGAAAATGGAAGAAGTGTTGCTCATTTTAATGAAAATGAGTTGGATGGTCCTGCGCGTTCTTTCTTTACACTATGACATTTTCTCCGTAGGATGTCTCGAGTACATAGCTCAATAATCCTTCCATTGAGCAATGTGTTCCCATCCCACGAAGGGGATAGTGGGTTGCATATGTAGACCACCTCTCCCCAACCAACCACTTTGACACCACAATGCTTTACTTCTAAGACCAGGTCTTCCATGTACTTTAAGTTTCATAGGTTCGAGACTTCACTATGAACCTTTCTCGAGTTTTCGAGATGGGTTCTCGGGACTAATCGGGTTCCGGTTTGGGATTGGGGTCAATGGTATTGAACCCGACCCACTGCTATCCCTAATAGTTTAAAAAGTTTTATTCCGATGATTGGTTTTTTGGTACTTAAAGTGGCTAGATATAGAGTTTGTGGTAATAGACTCATTGTTAGACTACTACTATTAGGATTTGATGTGAAATCGAAAGGTGAAACGCTAAAATGATAGAAGCAAATTAATTTGAGTTTGAAAGGGGAATATTGACGCAGAGAAATAGCCAAGACCTCTTGTTTATAAATTAAGACATTCTAAAAAATATTTACAAGTATTTAGAATCCTCATTAGGGTAGTAAACATAAAAAATACTATCAAAAGACCTAAGCTCCGTTCGTTTCGCGAAAAATGTGACATTTTTGAAAATATTTTCTAGGAAGTCATTTTCTAGGAAAATGACAATATTTTCTGGTATTCGGCTGAAATGTGAAAAAGAATCGGAAAATATTTTCCAAACTTCACAATCTGGGCATACACTTGCCTTTAAGGCCACAAAGCAAACTTACTTGGCATCTCTGCTCCCTCACCATCGCCAAACACCCATCCCTTCCTCGAAATGTTTGTATTGGGAAAACTCATTCTCGATCGACATATTCGAAACATATTCGAAGCGGATTTGATCAATGCGGAAAATGTGCCCAATAACCATCAACTCGTATCACCGATCGTACAGGCATATCACAAAATGAACATACCCAATATTGTCACAGATTAAATGTCACTTTGCACTTGAAAGTGATCTTCGATTGTCTTTCGTACCCACTTGTGTTCTGGAGGAAAATCGGAGAAAACGTTACTTTCGAATGGGTGAGATATTTCGCATATGAAAAATCACGTTGATTTTTCCAAGGGGGTTTACTATTTATAGTAAGAGGCAAATAACCACCTTGCGGGCCTTTGTGGTTCATGGGTCAAGTTTGGCCCATCTTGGGCGGTCCACCCATTATGCCTTTCATCTCTCACTCGCCTACAATGGGCTAAATACAACTCTCTTCTTTGCAAAGTTCATATTAGCAAATAATCCATGCGACCAGCATACTATGAGAGCTCGTTGTTATATATCTGTTAGGAATATATAACAATTCAAATTGTGCATTATCCAGAGTAGAATCAGTATGTAGTTCCCTAGATCAATCAGTCACATTTGTATCTCTCATGATCTCATTTAGTATCTCATACATTGTATTCACAATTATGATTTACTCAAAATCATAATTGGTCGACCTATGAATGCAAATATAGAATGTGACATTATAAACAAATTAATCTTTCTCTTTCCTTAAACCTTTCCATTTCAGTCCAGCTCGCTTTTCTAGAAATGCCCTGTTAGACCGAATTATCATGATCATCGGCAACATCATAAGATAGCAAATACTGAATAGAATTTTTTAGAATAAGTAAGAGTCGTGAGGGCACTTAATTGAGAAACTATTTTCCTCAAGAGTCTCACATTGCTTAAAAGTTGAGATCATAACTTTTGCCAACTCCTATCGATCGTCCCATGCATACGTAATATGAAATACGTATTACGGTATTCTTTCCTTTCCCATAGAATGCATGTCTTTACTCTCAATACTGTACATGTGATAGTTCAGACATACTCAATGTCTAATTTCAGTTCACAAATCTATTCTATTCATAAGTATATATTAGAACTCACATCTGGCATTAAAAATAGATAAAGTGAAATATGTGGGTCATTTCACTTTCGGACATAATAATCTATATATCCTCATTTTAACATTTTGTTAAGGTGACGTCCATGCTTCAAGCCTGAGCTCTCAATTATCACCTAGATAACAAGCTTAAAACTATCTTATCTCTATTTATCATACAGTAAGTAGAAGCGATTACATGTGTGAGTGGGCTAATCTTTCATCATACCTTTTCCATAGAGTGCACTCAGCATCGACATTCATAAACGTCATACAAACACATAGGCATTGATAATAGCAAACTTCATTAATAGTGAACATCCAGGGAAAATTACAATATTCAGTATATCATATTTTATACAGTCCTAGAGATCTCACATGATCATAGATAACTTCTATAGGAATTAGCTTCGTCATAGGAACTGCTATTATCCTTTGCATGGATATGTACTGCACGTTCACTTCCTTTTGTGCAACCATGTCCTTGACATAGTTATACTTGATATCTATATGTTTGGTCTTTCCATAATACTTGGGATCCTTAGTGTATTCTATTGCTACTTGGCTATCGCAATAGACCAATACTGGGTTTGCAGCATTCTTAGTAACACCTAAGTGATACAAAAATCTTCCAAACCAAACAACTTCTTGTGTCGCTGTTGATAGAGCCACGAACTTGGCTTTCATTGTGGATAAGGCCACACACTGTTGCTTCTTACTGCTCCATGATAGGATGTCATTATTCAGTAAGAACACATATAGAGGTAGATTTTCTTTCATTTAAATCTCCTTTCTAGTCAGTATTAGTATAGCCTTCAAGGTGCAAATCACTTCCTATAAGTAAGCGCATAGTTGGCACTTCCCTTTAGACATCTCAGGATTCTTTTGACGGCAATCCAATGGGCTTGACCTTGATTGGATTAGTATCTATTTACCATTCCAACTGCATAACAAATATCAGGTCTCGTACACATCATAGCATACATCAAGCTTCCGACAACACTAGCATATGGAACTTGTTCCATTTATTCCTTTTCTTGTGGAGTCTTAGGACACATGCTGTCGCTCAATACTTCGCCCTTTGCAATAAGAGTATCTATTGGTTTACAATCTTGTATAAGAAATCGCTCAAGAATTTTATTCACTTACATCTCTTATGAAAGGGATAGGGATTTCTTTAAGTGATCTTTTGAAATCTTAACTCTAAGAATGTATATACCTTCATCTATATCTTTTATCTCAAAATTGGAAGATAACCAATTCTTGACTGTATTAACAAATTATATACTGCTTCCGGCAATTAGTATATCATCAACATATAAAGATAAAATCACAAATTGATCTTTGGATCTTTTGATATATACACAATTGTCTTTACTAATTATTACTAAATCATATGCCATTATGGCATTGTGAAAACGTTTATACCATTATCTCGAAAACTGCTTAAGGTCATATATTGTGACATTATGAATTCGACCCACTTCCGGGATCAATGAAATGGATGTATATTTCTCATTTCGTTTTAGTAAGTCTCGCCCGGAACTGATCACTCTCGAGATACTGACCAATAGGGAATGGCTAACTAGGAAAACGGTACGTGGACCCAAGAACTCGACCGTGAATCAAGCTTCGATTCCGAGGAACGACGAGGGAATATTTTGGGCTAGCGTGGGCCGATCCAAGAAGGGCGACGGATTTAGTTTGCCAACAATGTATGATCGGATCGCGGGTGATTCCGCACGACCGAGAGTACGCGTAGCAAACGATCCTAAACTTACTCCGAACGATCGCGACCTCCGGAACTAGCGATTGATCCTCGTGTTCTCTTGGAAATCGAGACCTTCGCGACTCGAGTAACCCTAGGTCGATACGCGTAACCCCTAAACAGCCGCCCGTTAGTGAGAGACACTAAAATCGCATTTGAGCGAAA